ACCAATCTTCGCTTGTCCCTGCGGAGGAGATTGTTGGGCGTTTGACTTTCTCCACTCTTGTAGCAGGTTGTGTTGGAGGTGATGTTGGTGTGTGTATACCATTAGAGTGGACTGTTAGTAAGACAGCTGCAAGTCCGTCTTCTACGTCTTCGGTTTCATAAGTGCATGCAGGGAAAGGGCATTTGTATTTCGGCATTGTTTAAATGCGTGGAAATTTCCTTTAGATGTTTGTTTTGAGCTTTATCTGAGGAATATTCCTCGAAGTGGAAGTATTAATTCCTTGGAGTCGATCACTGGAGTCGATAAGCTAAGTGGAAGCACTGAATTTTCCCGACGCGTGTTTTTCAAGATGGCTGCCGAATATTTCGCAAATCGCGGTGATATTTCGTCGCTTTTAAGGACGTTGACGGATGCTCTTGATCTTCGCTTCTTGCTCACAGCTTCAGGGAGTTGTTATTCTGACTTCTCGTCATAGATAAGACTTCGTCCATTTCCAGATAACACAATATTTTAATAATAATTGAGCTCGTCACGGAATGACGAGAAGTCAGAATAAGTACACAGTGAAACTACAACTAGTTACCAGTTTCCTATTCTACAGGTAACCCATTATGTTCTAAATACTTTGTTAATGTTATGTAAAATTTCAATTTTCCATGACTTTCCATGACTAACATTGATTTTCCGGGATTTCCAGGCCTGGATTTTGGAATGTTGAAATTCCATGACTTTCCAGGTTTTCCAGGACCCGTACGAACCCTGTATAGTGATTGACAGGTAAACGGCACCCCTTTGATTCGATTTTTGTCTTATCAGTAGACAATTGGAATCGGTAGAATTATCGATAATTGTCTAAAACCGATTGTTGAGAAAATATGCATTGCAGATTGATACACATTGTTTTTTAACACAATATGTTAAATTAATGTGTAAAGCATGCCATTTATTAACGGTTTCAATTAGAGGTGAGCCGATCATCGGCAAAACATCGGCAAAACCTAGTCTTTCACAATCGGCCATTGTCTTCCACCATTTGTATGGTCAGCAGTGTTATAAAAAAATGAAATTCAAATATTTGGTGTGGAAACAATTATCGAAACGAAAGTGGAAACACTATGTTTACCAATTTCCCGCATTTTTTCATAGTTGTTTTCTCACTTTTCTGGCATTTCTGCAAGATTTATTAATTAATTAAATTATCGTGTTCCGTAACTTCCGTTGACCAGTCAGTACGTAGCACGCTGTGGATTTCAGAATCAGTGTTAAAAATATCGCTTCCTGTTGCTGCATTTTTTTAGTCTTTTGACGAGAGGATACATTAGTAAAAAAATTAAGATGACCATCGGTTTTGCCGATTAATCGGCCGATGGTGGGTAAATATCGGCTGTTAACAATCGGTATCGGTAATCGGCTTTTTTTAGACATCGGCTCACCCCTAGTTTCAATGATATTTGGTTGCAGTAATGAATGACGACGACATGAATGACGTCAACTTTACTGGGTCAACTGATATTATGAAGTGACTTCAATTATTGAAGTCATTATAAAATCGGTATCCACATCGGGTAGATTGTGCCATGAATAATAGGTAATTTCCGATTGCTGCACAATCAGTCAATCACTAGTTTCTTACTTGTGTTTGTTGTTAACATCCCACCATGCACCCATGGCCAGTGATGGCCATATTTGATTTGGTAATATACACCCCACATCACAACTTCCAAATACATTGTTAATTATTATAAAATAAATTAGTACTCTTTATATACCTGCAACTAGTACTCGATCTTTAGGCTTACAGTATTTATGAAGTACACCACATAGGTCGGAATATTCTCCATACCATTCAAAAGCATCTTTACGTTTCTCAAAAAAACTGTCCCAGTAGCGTTTTGAGCCAAAATCTTTCGTTGATTTCGGCAGTAAATTCATGTTGAACTTTGCAAAGCGACAAGCGTGACGTTAAAGCGCTAGATGGTAATAACTAGCATGCTCTCTATATCCCACATAAGATGAAGTACTCCATCATTCGTTGTTTCCACTTAGGCACAGAATAGGAAGTTATAACTTCCTATTCTGTGACTTAGGTTGTTTCCCTTTGCTTTTTGATAATACAAATACCACAGATACACAGTCAATAAAATACAAAAGTGCGATTATGCTTCAATTTGGAAAAGCAGTGTTTGTCACGACATCTATGTTTGTTGTATTTCTTATTTGTTGGTGTAGTGTTGTAGGAAAAGACTCGCCAGAAAACAGCGATTTGTCTTCTGATGCTTGGGTGGACCCAGGAGATATGTTATCCACTGATTTGTCATCTTTTGGAACGGTAAGATTTTTGTTAATAAGCAAAATTAATTACTATAATAAACAAATTAATAAAATAAGCAAATATTAAGCAGATACCGCAGATATACTAATGGTGGTACAGGTACTGGACAATAGTTCACTATAAATATATATTAATATTTAACAATTATTCGCCGAAGATGAGGTGATTATCGGGGAATATTCGCCGAGACGAAGTCGAGGTGAATATTAGTGATGGACGATACTACCTGTATCGATTTGATACGATGCCGATTACTTTTTCGTAAAAGTATCGAGGTATCGATTACCCAAACGATTACTACGACGACGATTGTATTTCAGAATTTTCCGCCATTATAAGTTATTTCCCGCCTTTTTCGTAATTTATTCTGTCGACGAGGTCCGGAATATTAATCAGGGAAGTGGATAGAATGTCAAATAAAGTAAATTGCAGGGCCACAGGTTCAATTCCTGCCAGATTTTTTGTTTCCGGTATGGGTATATGGTTGTTTCGTACTCTTGCCTTTTCGTACTCATCGTCACAGAGTAGATACATACAGAGCTGTAACTGACTGTTGTAAACACTGCAGAAGCTTACGTTTTCATGTGCCCACTTTTTTCAGGCGACCAGGCAAAAAAGATCAATGCGCGTGCTAGGCAAGTTTTAAAGCGAGCCGCCATCCAATCAGATGCATGCATCTAGTAACTTGCCAAGCATGTGCACAAAAAAGTGGGTACACTAGTTATAACTCTGTATATCTATCTACTCTGTGTCATCATGCATGCAGACTTACTTGTTGTTTTTTACCCGAACTCTTGTCATTCCGTATTCTTCCTCAAGACAGTTACTGTACGTTAATTCACATTACGTTGTAATCCCCGATTGTAATTTGCAACCAAATTAAATTTGAATAATAACCAAATAATCAAAGTAGCCTTAATTTCAAAATTGTATGAACTTCAACTAGGTTCATGCATGAACTTCGAACAGAGATCAATATGATAACTAGGTTCTTCATGAAGGTATTAATTTACGAACAGCATATATATTGGGATATACTATTGTCTATATTGAGGCTATTGTGTAGATAATAATAATAAGCAAAGGCTTTGTTAACTGATAAGTCATTAATCCATTATGACTCACTGTGAAAGGATGCATTCGTTATTACATGGAAAACGTATGTTGCAAATTGCTTTGTAGTCATCCCTCGCTGAAGAAATGAACTGATTCGTTCTTTCACGGAAAAAGAAAACCCAAACCCATTAATTATCTATCACCAAGTAGTGTGACAATTAAAACATTTTAATTTTCATGTTTCTAGTTATTTAATTGTTATTTGAATTCAATTTCCATGGGTAAAACCCCATTATATCCAGTTATACAGTATAATTTACATAGTACAATCAGTATATATTTTAAATAGTGCAATCAACCTGAGTTAGAGTACAAAAAACAACCTGATACTGGGTGTTATGCAATCAGGTGAAGATACATGTATACATACTGTATGTTTGTGATGTTGTGACTGATGTCTCTGAGTAGTAGTTGGTTAGGTCTAATATAATAAGAAAATATTTTTGTTTTTTTTGTTCATCTACTGTACATGTAAATTAAACATAACTTTTTACAATTTTTTATGTCTAATAGTAATAGCCGTTTTCACATTAGAAGACGGACAAGTCGTCTAGACGAACAAATTGTCTCAAAATCGTCTTTTAGTCGGACAAATCATCAGATGTGAAAACGTGTTGGACAAAATTTTAGACGAACAAGTCGTCTGAATTTGTTCGACTACTTGTCCGTCTGTGAAGACGATTTTTGAGAGACGATTTGTTCGTCTAGACGACTTGTCCGTCTCTAATGTGAATAGGGCTAATGTGTTGGTTTCCTCTACAGAAACCATTTGCAAAGACTTGGTGGTTACTGTAAGTTACAAATGTTTATCTTAAGTCAATTGCATGATTGCATTTATGTCATGATTGTTTTTGTGCACATTTACAGTAGATTCTGTTCATTGGCAATTAAACTAGTACAGTATGTCAGTATAACAATCATAAAGTACAGTTACTGTATGTCACTGGCATATTATGTACAGCATATATTAATGTATGAAATCTTGAATTGTCTTTGCCAGACTAGTGTAGGTAGTGCCAATAAAAATGGACAAGTTCTTGTTGGTAGGAATGCAACTACCTGAAAATATATACAGTAAGAGAATTTCGATGTTTTGAGCGAAGGCCCTTTGTCTGGAGTTACTAGCGGAGGTCAGGAAAATTACATGAGCTTTTATACTAAGAATATAAAAGCGATCACATGACAAAAAATAAACCATGCAATCAGATGGATTTAGTCAAAACAAAGTATAAACAAAAAATGTAAATCACATTACAGAATATATTAATACAATTATACAGAAAACACAGCAACTACAACAAAATATATTAAACAATTAGTATGGAATAAGGTAATTAAGAATTAATGGTATTATTATTAAAGGTTTATTAAATAACTCATTTTTGCACCAATAGGTAGGTGAATTGCAATACGATTACAGAATACAATATGAGATAGGTATAGCTAGAATATAAAAATATCAAGTATACATGCAGTGGTTAACATACTGAACAAGTTATTAAGTAAAGTAGGCCTACTATTAAAATTAGCAGTCATTGCTGGGATAAAACTAGTTTTGGAACATTCAGTTCTACAATTGCATTTTATTGATGAAAAGTTAGAATTGTTTCTTAAGTCCCGATTGTGTGTCTATTCACGGAGTGGAGGTAAAAGATATAGAGTAAAAGAAGGAGATTTTTTCGTTCATGACAATGAAAGGAATTATTGATATTGTTTATCGTTAATCGTTGGACTTTGTTCATTAAGAGTCTTACGATTTTAATATGATAAAAAAACATTACATATATTCACCTGAGTGCATAACATCAAAAACACACACAAAAATAATATAATTGTTACTTGTTAATATTTAAGTTCTGCGTGTTATGCATACTGTAGCGACTGGTATCGAGTTTCCAATAGTTCAGAGCAATCACATTGAGCGTGGCCAGGTCGGCCGGGATCGGTCAGCCAACAATATAGGAGGCCAAGGTAGCACACCATGCATGCTCTATTTTTTCTCCATGAGGAACAAATGTTTCAATTTTGCGGCGGAAAATTGTGTTCCACACGTGGATTATATGTCATTATGCGACTCTGGTTGGTTAACTTGCATAAACCACGCACAGTCGTTGACTGCCTATTTTTTCTCAAGGACTCCGGACCACGTATTTCCAATGGGTTGTGCTAGAAGACACTATAGTTCAAGATCGTTGATCATAACAATGAATAATATAGGGTCCTTGCTAAGGGACACCTGCATTGACAAGGCCCCAATCAGATTGAAAGTTATCGATCTTTACCGATTAATGGCGATTTGAGAGAATCAGTAAAGCTGTATATCCACGGGATAAGCGATTTTCTGACACATAAGTCATAACATAACATTTATTAATTTATATCGCGCAAATTCAACAATACAGTTTTCAAATACGCGTTAGGCCTACAACAATGGATAGGACAATTAAAATACGTAGAACTAATATTACAATATTAAATCTAAAAACTAAACTAGGCCTAATAGAAAGCCTGTCTAAAAAGATATGTCTTCAGATCTTGCTGAAACTGTGGCGAAGGTTCAAAAGAAAAGCTACAGAGACTACAAAACCGTGCAGCTAGAGTAATCACAGGTGATACCTATGAAATTCGCTCCACGGATATTTTAAAGATATTAAATTGGAGAACACTCGAAGAGAGAAGAAAGGAGCAAAAATTAGCATATGTGGCCAAAGCCCTTTCAAACCAATGTCCTGAAAACGTTTCAACTATGTTTAAAATCTCAAATTCTGATAAATATAATTTAAGAAGTAATAACAAGATGCTGATGTTGTCGAAGCCTAAAACAAATTCAATGAAAAGGACATTCGGATATGCTGCTGCTAAAGACTGGAACTATATAATAGTAAAAATTTTAAATCTACTTAATTCATTTGTAATATATATATTTAACGTATTGCTTCGACCTAAACATTTCTTAGTATCTTTTAATATTTTTATAATAGTTTATATAATAGTATTTCGAGTTTTAATTTGTATTTAGTAACACGGCCTAATGAAAAACAACCTTTATAATTTTTGTAAATACTGGTAGGTAATATGGTTGATTAGTTACCGTGTATAAATATGTTGTAATAATAATAATAATAAAATAATAATAATAATAATTAAATACATTAAAATCAGAGATACTCCTAAGATTCAATGGCAATACATTCCATAGTTTTGGTGCAGCGGCGATAAAGACTTAAAATTTGGCAGACGTAAAAGAAGTTTGTTATTTGACCTTGGGCTATAAGAAGAGTTCGTTTCAAAAGTTATATACTTAAAGTTCAGTTATATAATTAGGGGCGGTTCCATGAATTGCCTTAAACGTAAGTGTAATTATCTTATATTCAATTCGATATTTGACTGGCAACCAGTGCACTCGTACAACAGCGGAGTAATACTGTATGGCTAAACCGAGATGCACAGTAGAAAATCCTTGCGGCAGCATTCTAAACACGTTTTGATTTGGCAATAGCATTGTTGGGCAGTGCTGAGTGGTTATATTACTACCTGAAATAAACAAGCAAAAACTCGACGTTTCGAGCGAAGGCCCTTCGTCAAGAGTTAGCCTGCGTAGCCGGCGGTTTTAAGGGTTGGGGTTGACGCGCGGGCAGCGAAAATTAGGGAGGCGAGGCGCGGGAAGGGTTTAGTAGCAGGGATCCGGGAAATACTAAGAGTATGAAAGCATCACGTGACAAAAAATAAACCAATTAGATGGATTTAATCATAACAAAGTGTAAACAAAGTGTAAAAAAAGTGTTGTTGGGCAGTCCATATAACAATCCATTACAATAGTCTAGGTGACTGGTGACGTAGGCATGAACGAGTTTCTCTGTTAATTCTCTGCTTAAATACTTG